GGCGGTGGCGGGGCGAGCGGTGGTCGGGGTGGGCTCGCCCCCCGCCGCGGCGCTTGGCCTCCCGGGCGGTTGGGGGAGAGCGGCCGCCGGGCCCTCCCCTCATGGAGAGCGCAGGGGCTCGCTCTCCCTGCAGCTTAAGGCAAGACAATTTGCTCGTTTAAGCCTGTTTTTGTGGAGAAGCTGCCTAAACAAAAGGAGCGGGGGGGGAGGGAGGAGGGGAAGAAAGCTTTAGTTTTAAACTCGGCCCTGGATGGGGTGGTGTCGGTCTGTTCCCTGCGAGGTTGAAGGATGGCGCTGGTAATCTAGTCTTTGACCCTCCGACTGGTAATTATATCCTTTAATTATCTTCATTACAAGATATTGAGGAGCTGGAGCGGGTCCAGAGAAGGGCAACGGAGCTGGTGAAGGGTCTGGAGCACACGTCTGGTGAGGAGAGGCTGAAGGAGCTGGGGGTGTTCAGCCTGGGGAAGAGGAGGCTGAGGGGAGACCTTCTCGGTCTCTACAACTCCCTGAAAGGAGGGTGTAGCCAGGGGGGGTCGGTCTCTGCTCCCAAGGAACAGGCGATGGGACAAGAGGAAGCAGCCTCAAGTTGTACCAGGAGAGGTTTAAACTGGATATTATGAAAAATTTCTTCCCCAAAAGGGTTATCAAGCCTTGAAAGAGGCTGCCCAGGGCAGTGGTGGAGTCACCATCCCTGGAGGTGTTTAGAAGACATATAGATGTGGTGCTGAGGGACATGGTTTAGTCGTGGGACATGGGTTGGTGGTGGACTTGGCAGTGCTGTGTTAACGGTTGGACTTGATGATCTTAAATGTCTCTTCCAACCAAAACGATTTTATGATTCTGTTTCTCGCTAGGCTTGCCCATAACAGTAAGGAGCCCAACGGGGCTATTTCCTGTTGCAGTGGTGATGTGGTTAATAGGTAGAGGTGAATTAATAACCAAGGGTCCAGTCTGCTCTCAGAATAATTTCAGGTCTCACTGATTTTGCAGATTAGTGCTGACTAACTGAAAGTCTGTTTGCTTTTGGAAGATCAGAATGCTGGCCCCATGGCAGTGCTTTCTGAAGATCTCATCTAGACCAGAAGCAATGTGAAGGGCTGTCACAGTACTGGCACGCTTCCATCAGTGTAGTGGTAGCAGTAGTATTTAATAGTAGCAGTATGTCATTTAAGGCCCCAAAGAAAATACAAATGGTAGTTTTTTCATACAGTCAGCTTCTGTATTTTCCTTCCATTATTAATTAGATAATTATAAATTATTATTATTATACGTGGTAGAATGGAAAATAAGAAATTTGCATGGCTACATTAGTAGCACAATGTTCCACATATATATTTGCATGTGTGAAAAAAACCCAAAACTGCTTTGACTGCTTGACGTTTTCTCTTGCAATCATGTGAGGTGGAAAACTGTGCCCTTTCCTAATCTTTTAGGACATGTTTTACGATACTTGTTTCTCTTTTGGATGTGTATTTTAATACTGCTACAGTCATTGCTCTGTAGCAGCTGACACACACTGAGCATGTGTTGTCTTGTCTCCTGTGGTTTGCATATTTCCAGATACAGTTGGTAACTAGAGACTATTCAGTTATTTGCTTCCTTCCCTGTCTGAGAAGCTTTGGTATTATTTTTATCACTGGGTCGTTAATTTGCCTCGTTGGCTCACAATTCGAATATATAATTGCTTCAAAAAGAAACCTGGTGGTTCTTATGGCAGTGATGATATGTGATGATATGAATGTATTTTCAGTAGGTCCAGGTAGAATAAGTGAATCCAGGCTGGAAAAGAGTATAAACGTTGTTTTATTTATAATTTTCCTATCAAAAGAAAAGCATTGGAACAACTGCATTTATATAAGGCAAAATACATTTTTGCTTTTATTGCTATACAGAGAGACTTTGGTCATTTTTGGTAGCTTGCTGGGTGTAGTAGTTTTGGATCTTTCTGAAGCACTTTATTTTTTACTCTTTGGTACCTGTAAAGATCATTGTAGCATCATCTTTATATTCGCTATCTCTGTTATATAGGATTTTAAAAAAAACTTTCTATTTTTTAAAGATAAAATATTGTATAATGAGCTTCCTGAAACCTACAGAACATATTCTGCTAGATTAGAAAAATGCTGTTGCTGATTTCAGCTACTTGTTTTTTTAAGTTTCCTTACAGTGAAAAGCTTGTCTTACCTAAGCTTTCAGGGAAAAGAATATCAAGGGGGAGAATAACAATTTAAAATAAATTCTTAATGCATTGTCCTGATTTTTTCCCCGCCACTATCCCTGACAGCATGAGATCATTGTCTGCAGGGAGATGGGTATTCTGCATGACCGACCATGACATCATTGCATTACCTAAACCAAGATGAGGCAATCCTTAGTAGCCTGTTAGAATCAGCACCGTCCTCCAGAGAGCGTTGCTGTTACCCTGACTGGTGCTTTAGAGCAGAAAACCTAATAAGACGTGTGTTTGAGAGCCTAGCAACACAACAGACATCCCTTTGTGGATGTCTTTTGTTCTTTAAAGAAGTGCAGGTGACTTGGTGCATTAAGGTGCTCAGAAATTGATGGATGTTGAAGGTGAGTTACAGATTCTATTCTGAAGATAAAGCATGTGTAATTTAAATAGCTAACTATTGATACCCAGTTTTAATTCAGTATCTCTCTGGCTTCTGTAAAGACAAGCTCCAGTTGTGATGCAGTAGAATGCAGTAGGTTCTAACCATTAAACAACTGAAACTGTAGGCCGTGACCTAGGCTTGAAAAGGCTTTAGTAAGAAATATTTTTATGGTATGGTGTTACAAAATGTGCTTTAATTTTTTCAGAAACAGAGTACTGTAGTTCATTGTAATTGTAGGGTTTGCTGGCGGCTACTTCTAATTTCAGTGTTTCTTTGGCATTGGATCAAGGACAGCAGTTTTAAGGTTGCAAAAGGGTCAAAGGAGATAAGTTTTAATTTAAGGTCACTTAAGTGTTGAAGATCTTATTGTTTGCAACTTGGTTAACGTTGGTGTTAGAGAAGAATTCAATAGATCCCAGTCTGTTAGGTCTCCAGTTTGCCTACTTGATCTTCTCCTGTTCACCAGTGTTATTCCTGCCAGTTTATTAAAACCAGTCCCTAATGGCATGGTGTATATGATACTCGGGGGCGACCACAGCTCAGGTAGGCACATATTTACTAGTTTGCACTAACTGGTTCTGGTGCTTGCAGCACTGGCACTGCAGATCTTCCCAGTGCCAGACAGCTGGGATGAACACCTGGGGTTTTAGCAGAAGCTGAATTCCATGCTGATACGGGCTACACTTAGTACACCTGCTGGCTTGAAAATGGAGTTGGGAAGTGATACTGTGCTTTTTTTATATGGTGTGATTCTTCATTACTGTCATTAAAGAACAAGCAAAGAAGAAAGTTAACCATTTCCCTGTCTCTCCTATTAATCCCAGCCACAGTGAAGGGTTTGGATTGTGCTTCTCCAGAAGAAGGAACAGCCTGAGTCGCATCAGAATTATGAGCCAGTCTGGGTAGATGTTTTCCTACGAAATAAAGTTTTGATCAAAAAGGGTTGAGCTGGGAGGTCAGGAAAGCTGGAAACCAAAGCCAAGGATGATTGTGTTAGGGACAGGGTTGAAAGAGGCATAGAAACTCCTGAAAGCTGGACTCTGCTGGAGAAGAGGAACTTCTAGTGTTCTTGTCAATGAAAGCCGTTCTTTCCACTTGCCAGGGATCAGCAGCTCTGCTTTTCAGTTACAGCTGGATGGATGCACAAATTGTCACTCTAGAGAAGACTTTGTTGTCAATGCTAATGCTCCCTGCCCCTGTCATGCTACAGGTCTTAGGCACTTGAATTACCTTTGAGAAGTGCTCGTCTTTTTTCACATTGGGAACTTTTAAGACATTAGAATTTGAAGTTAGGATGAATGAATCCAGATCATGGTGCTAGGCAGGCAGGTTCAGCATCATAGATGTAGTTCCTGCCCCATGATATTGTCTTTAAAGTGAATTTCTGGAATGTAACGCAATAATATATTTTAGAAATTTTATTTCTAAAATACCAAGCTTATTTGATACTTCTGTAATTTGGTTTTCAGAAAATTTCCAGTGTGCTACAAATTTACGTGATACCGTTTTGTGAGCAAGAAGATTTTTTAATTACATCAGTGCTCCAAGATACACGGAAAAGTATTTCCAAGTAACCTTGAAGATCCTTTGAAGTCACTGAAAGGGTAAGTAAATGTCTTTTAAGAAACAAGGAAAGATAAAGGGTTATACGTACCCAGAGTCGCGCTTTTGATACATCAGTAATTGTTGACGCAGAAAAGGGATGTTTGTGGTAGAGAATAGATATTAAAAGACCTAATATAATAATAATAAGGTGCTGTAGGATGGCAGATATAGTTTGCCGCCAATGAGCCTAAGCCTTAACTAAGAATATTCATCATATTGGACCAGCAAACCTTGCTACTTGGTCTGGTTATTTATACGTCCCTATTTACCATAAATACATCTGCTAAGTAAGTTTTTTAAAATTCTTGCCTCATAGTGCCTTGTTTGCTTCTTAAGGTCTAAGCATTTATTTCACTTTTGAGCATTTATTACTTTGTCTTGTCTGACGATTTAACTTTAAGATGTTAATCATTTTTTGGATCCCAAGTTAAAGGTAAGTTGTGGCAATGTGTCCCATGAGTACAGACAGAGTAATTGGGAGGGAGGTTTATTGCTTTTAAACTGATGTCTGGCTTGGTATCCATCATCACTTCTTGTCCTGTGTTCTGATCAAAAGTAAATAGCAGCCCACAGCATAGAGCTTATTTCATCAACTATTTAAAGTTATATCATTGTGGGTTTATGTTATTTATATAATATATATTATTTATATATATTATATAGTTACCTTCACATGCACGCAGTGATGTTTCATTTGAAGTGGAATGCAGAGAAATCCTTTATTTCTCAAAATACTATGACCCAAAATCTAATCTGTGTTAGTCTTTGCACACATGCGATAACTTGTGTAGCTTGGTTTTAGATTTCAGTTTCGGTCTTATGGAGATCCATATATGACACAATATTCATAATACTAAATTGCTACTAATGCATGTACGGACATTACAATATTTTAAAGATTGTTTTCAATTTGTTTGTCTCTTATCCTGCTTTTTGTAGGCCTTTTCGATGATTTGGTCACAGGGATCTGCAGACTATTTTTCCCAGAGTTGTTTTAGAATGCAGTAATTTAGAAAAATATTTCATGCTCTTCTTTTCAAATATATGTAGGAATTTCTCAGAAATGTTATTTTTTGCCCACCAGTACTAGTACTCCTGGGCTAAAGTTATTCAGTGTGGCTAACACCTTTTAACATTCCTGTTTTCTCTATAATTCTAAAAAATTGCTCTCTGGTTGTGTAAGGCTTTAAGGAAACCTAACAAATGTTGAGCAATCTGAAGGTAGTATTTCATATGAAAATGAACTGTCATCTGTTTCCGTTTTCTTATGTTTTCAAGCTGATCATTGAGAGCCATAATGGCAGACACAGGAGATGGACCACGTTCAGGGGAAGATCTGACAGATGCAAAATCTATTCCTGGTTCCAAAGGGTAAGTGAGGAACTTCTGGTTTAAGTCTTCAATTTAAGTTTTGAGAAATGTTGGGCTGTAACAGAAGGCGAGAGCCATGGAAGTGATAATGCTCACCTAAACCTGTGGCAACCAATTCAGCTGCTTGACCTGACCTGCTGTGGGGTTATGTGTGCAGAAGTGGAAGTGTGAGAGGCATTTACAACGGTGGAAGGGAGGAAATGCAGGTCTGTTCTTCCTAGTGACGGCCAGTTACTACGCTGGTGTAACCCTGTCATCAGATTATGCTTTCTGGGAACTTAATTTGTTTCTGAAGTCATTCTTTTTAGTATGTCAATTAATATTAGATTTAAGGGCATTACAAACTTTTTATTTGTAGAATATCATATGACAGCGCCCCCCAATCTTGTAACCACTTACCCATGTGCTTAAATGAGAAAATCCATACTGACTTCAACAGATACACACTGAGTAAAACTGACAGCTCTTGCAGAGTCACAAGAGGTGGTGTAGTTGGTGTGCTTGTTAAGGCAGAATTACAGCTGTGTATGGAGTCTTGGTCATTTTCTAGGTTTTGAATGTTTTCTTGTAGAAATTCAGTGGTAATATGACTTTTGGTTTCAAATTCAGAATAGATTTACAATCTGAGAGCTGATCTTGGCCTCCAAGTACTTAGTTTGTCTGATTTCTATACAGGAAGAACCTACCTCCTAGCAAGTCGATGGACTCTGGAATTCTGCCAGAATACAGTTATAGAATGGATTATCCAGAGATGGGGCAGTGTATAATAATAAACAACAAGAACTTCCACAAACACACGGGTACCATTTTTAAATTTTCAAGTTTTTTCCTTAATTTAGATAAATTAGTGGCATGTGTTACTCTTCAGAAATAAATATGTAGACCTGTTTTGATTGCAATGTAAAATTAAATAGTTTGAATGAGTGTGGTTCATTTCAGTGCATCCTTCCAAATATGCTTAGAGGGAAGACATTAGGATATAGCAGTAATGGGGAGAAAAATTGGTAGGTGCTAAAGTCTGTCTTACCTTTTAGTGATGGTTTCTCTTTTGCAAATGAAATCCTTTTTTTTGTCTTTATATGGATGGATAGATATAAAAATAAGGAGTCTAAAGTGGAGGTAAAGAGAGAAGGCGATGGTGTGCATGTATAACAGTGCAATGCTTTTTCTGTTAGAGTGCATCTGGAACAATATTCCAAACTGATAGAGGTATAAATGAGAAAAGAGTTTGGCTCAATCAGGCCATGCCATCTAAATCATAAAAAAAATAATACATTTCTCTTATGTAGGGATGTCATCCCGTTCGGGTACAGACGCAGATGCTGCAAGTGTCAGAGAAGTTTTTATGAAGTTGGGATATAAAATAAAGATCAACAATGATCTTTCATGCGAGGACATTTATAAAGTATTGAAAAATGGTAAGTAATAATACGTTCAGTGTGTGTTTTAAATCAACTACTGTTTCCAAATTCGTCTCTAGCTCTCAAATCTCTTCTTCCATGGTTCTTCTAGATGGTCTTTCACACCTACCAGTGGTTTATTGCTAAGGATGACATGTACATCATGATTTCTATGTTTATTCATCTTTGCTGTCTCTCTATCTTTTGTGCCATGACTGTTGTCTCCGTATCCTTTCTCATCTTCTAAAGAAGGCTGGAAAAAAGGCTGAAACTTAAATGCAGACTGATTTATATTCTGACCCTGGGATCACTGAAGCTCTGTGAGTTGGAAAGAAACCTGCTTAATTGGGTAGAGGGGTTCTGTGCTAATGTGCTGAGTGGTTTGGCCCAAGAGGTGTCCTGATCCGGGGGGAGGTCTGATCAAGGGACCAGAACTGCAAGCGTGTGGACTGAATGACTCTTTTAGAGAAACAACTTGTGTTCTGTTTGACTCGTGAAACAAAACACCCTTCTGTCAAGTGACAGCTTTATACTACTGCTTGTGTTTGTCCTGCTTTGTTTGGACTTGGCCACATCTAGACCAGTAAATTAAATGGTGCCTGGAGTTACCTGTAGCCCTGGAATATGGTGTGTTCTAGTTAACTGTTGGGAAGTTCTCCGGCATGGCTGTGGCTCATCCCCACTAGCCCTCTCCCAGACTGTCCCAGCTCACAGTTCAACAGTAAAAGTCTTCCAGGGATTCTTCCCACCAGCCAGTTAGCCTGCAGCAAGCCTGTTTTCTTTTCTTTTAAACGTGTTTGCTAACATAGGTGTAGGTTTAGTGCCAGTTAATGTTTATGCCAGAGAATGCTCCCAGGAATGGTTAATTTATTAGTATAGGTGCAGCCTGTCTGCTGACAGCGGAAAGGTCTCTGCCTTACCTGTGCCATAAGGCCTCCACACAGACAATGTAAGCTACAGACTGCAGTCTTAACTAGAGATTCCCAAAAACCAGCCTTTCCTGACTCTTCTAGATGCAGTGCTTGACCATACATTCTAGAAATGCTTGAGTGTGCATCACTTGAGAAAAATCTAAATAGTTCAGTTTTTCCAGAATAGAAATTAAGTGTTTTGGCAAGCTCTAAACAGAGCTTTTGGGATTGCTACACTTTTCATCTGCAAACTCTTGCTTCTTCTTGAGTTTCCCACTGAGAATTCCTTTTGGATCCTTTCTTCTAAACTATGTTTGTATCTTTTCATGTATTTAAAAGAATCATCTTGGTCCTCAAGTACCATCCCCACAGTGTTTTTCCAGAATAGAAATTAAGTGTTTTGGCAAGCTCTAAACAGAGCTTTTGGGATTGCTACACTTTTCATCTGCAAACTCTTGCTTCTTCTTGAGTTTCCCACTGAGAATTCCTTTTGGATCCTTTCTTCTAAACTATGTTTGTATCTTTTCATGTATTTAAAAGAATCATCTTGGTCCTCAAGTACCATCCCCACAGTGTCTGGCAACAAAAGACATCAGAGAATCTCTGTTCTTTGATGTTTGCATACCATAAGATGCAAAAAAATACAAATCTATAAACACTTTATATCAAACATAAATGTGTTCAAGTACAGAATTCTGAGGCTTGAAAAGTCTTTCTAGACCTTGCTACAGGGCAAGAGTGAGAGGGATAATGCTGGTACCTGGATCCCTGCAGCAGTAAGAACTTTCATGCTGCACTCAGTTCCTGTGTAGTCCAACTAGTGAAGTTTCTCTGGAATGAGAGGTAGGGCTTTCCCCATCCTTTCCCAAAACTCAGAACTTCCCTTCAGTCCAGTCACAGATGAGGAGTAAAGATTCTCTGGAATGAGAGGTGGGACTTCCCCATCCTTTCCCAAGACTCAGAACTTCCCTTCAGTCCAGTCACAGAACAATAGAATGGTTAAGGTTGGAAGGGACCTTAAAGATCATCCAGTTCCAATATCTCCCACCAGACCAGGTTGCTTCAAGCCCCATCCAGCCTGGCCTTGAAGGGGATGGGGCAGCCACAGCTTCTCTGGGCAACCTGGGCCAGGCTCTCACCACCCTCACAGCAAAGAATTTCTTCCTGAGATCTCACCTAAATCTCCCCTCTTTCAGTTTAAAACCGTTCCCCCTTGTCCTATGGCTCCCCTCCCTGATCCAGAGTCCCTCCCCATCTCTCCTGGAGCCCCTTTGGGAACTGGAAGGGGCTCTAAGGTCTCCCCGGAGCCTTCTCTTCTCCAGGCTGAACCCCCCAACTCTCTCAGCCTGTCCTCACAGCAGAGGGGCTCCAGCCCTCAGGTAATCCCAGATCATGAGACTGTTCCCCATTACTGCATGAGCAAGGTGGACCTTTCAGACTTGGAGACACTGTGGGAACACCCTCTTTGTCTCCTCCTGCTATTCCTGGCCTCGTTCTGTGGCTGTGTCTTAGAATGGGTAGGGCTTTTCTGTGTCCAACCTCCTGAAGTAAAGTAAGCAGGTTCCTTTTGCTCAGAAGTGAAAACTGGTTGGAGGTTTCTAACCATGGGAATTAATTCCCAAAGATTTCCTTCACGTTGGAAACATCCAATGTTTTGTTTTTTTTTTTTCTTTCAAGTGTCTGAAGAGGATCACAGCAAGAGGAGCAGTTTTGTTTGCGTGTTGCTAAGCCACGGCGAGGAAGGATTAATCTACGGCACGGATGGCCCTCTGGAACTGAAAGCGCTAACGAGCCTTTTCCGAGGGGACAGGTGCAGGAGTTTAGCAGGAAAACCCAAGCTCTTTTTCATTCAGGTGATGTGCAGCTGAACAACTCTCATCAAATCAGCTGGATACTTAAAAAAAAAAAAAAATCCCATTAATTATTAGTGCAAAAAAAGTTAATTATTTCTAAATTTGATTTAAATCGAATTACTTGGAGAATAAGATTCTTTTCAGGTCTAAAAGTGGCACAGTCTGCCCTATGCCATCACATTACCTTAATTGTATAAATGAAGTAAAATTTTTCTGAACAGTAACCAATATTTTAGTGAGTTTCTGAATGCACTTTTGAATGAATATACATCTTAACCAAACTGTCTAGTTGATTTAAATAAATGCTAGTTACTTTTCTTCTGAGTCTATCTAATGGAAATTACATATAAATTGTTATTTTTGCCAGTTTTTAATCTGGATATTATTGTCTTTAAAATGAAAAAAAAACCCAAACCAGCCAACCCAAACAAACCCCCAGTGTTTTGATAATGATTACTGCCTTTATTTCTTTATTTTTTTTAATTTCATTTTCCCTTCTTTCTACCAAATAGGCTTGTAGAGGGACAGAATTAGACTCCGGCATTGAGACAGACAGTGGATCAGAGGAAACGATGTGCCAGAAAATACCTGTAGAAGCAGACTTCCTGTATGCATATTCTACAGCTCCAGGTGGGACTTGCAAAGGAATTTTTGTTCCACAAATTGTGTCTAGATATCAGCTTGTATCGATATTGTAAATGACAATTTGTAGCTGTTTCCAGTCGGTGGGTGACCGCTTCCTCTAATCGCTCTCCCGCCCTGTCTTGCTCCATCTGATCAATTTGACCTCTCTCTCTGCCACAGGCTATTACTCCTGGAGGAATGCAGCTGAAGGCTCCTGGTTTATCCAGTCCCTGTGTAAGATGCTGAAGGAACATGCCAGGAAACTGGAACTCATGCAGATTTTGACTCGTGTCAATCGCAGAGTGGCCGAATACGAGTCCTGCTCCACTCGCCAGGATTTTAACGCGAAGAAGCAGATTCCCTGCATTGTCTCGATGCTCACCAAAGAATTTTACTTCCCTTCCTAAACGAATTGCACCTTGGAATTTTTCAGTTCATGTTTTTATCTGTAATTTATATGCAATGTTAGTACGGAATACCACTTTTGAATCTGAATTGCTGTTCACTACTGCGTGTGGCATAATGACTGTCTGAAAGTTAGATATGTCCGTTATTAGAAGTAAAACATAGTCTGGCTATGGTAGGAAGGCAAGTTTGAAAGTACTGCTCTAAGTATCTCAAAAAATTAGGCAGAGCAAACTGGGGAAAAATCAGATCACTTATCAGATCTATTTGGTGCTACATTTCACTTCACAGAAGGGGCAGAGAAAAGAAACAGTTCTTGTAAATAGTTTGGTTCTGTCTCTTTGCCAATAGGAAGGAGATTGAGAACCTGATACGTTCACTAATGATGGCAATATGATAGCAGTGTTGTCTTACATTTCTTCTTAACTCCAGTTCTTAAAGTTTAGGTTATAAACTAACCTAGACTGGTTTTATAACTTTAGGAATCAACTGGGGAAAACAGCCACTTCATTTTTTACATACAATTAGGAAGAGTATTTAGAATGCAGTCAGGTTTTTTTTTCTGGGTCATTTTATAACTTTTCATATGGAGTATTAGGTAAAGCAATTATAGCAACACAGTAGCTGTTTCAAAGTACATTTTGTATTCTGGCCTTGAAGATGAGTGACCAAGGGACCAGTCTCCCTAAATGTCTCTCTGCAGCTCCCGAGGGGGGAGCTGTTGGGGCACATTTGGGGCTGTGAGAATGGGGGCAAAAGGAAAGCAGACAATTGAGAATAGAAGCTTCCTCTTTCTGGCCATAAATAAGAGCCAGGTTTGCTTTGTGCTGTGTGCATACCCTGTGGAAACCCAGATTTGTGGTGCTGGAGAAATTTAACTTCTTAACCCTGATATCATTTGAGTTGATTACAAGACTTTAGCTAAATTATGTTAACAAACAGTAAATTTATACCTCAACTCTGAATTTTGTGGAACCGGCTTTTACAAAATCGTAAAACGTCTTTGTTGATGTTTCAGCTTGTGGCAGTCTCTGTAAGATCAGAGGAGGATGGAGTGGTAAATGACTATAGAGTGCTTGCAAAACGAGACTTAAAACTCTCTTAAATTGTGTAGATAAACAATGTTAGCAAATTGATGTTCACTTCCAGAGGCATTTGGGGTTTTTTAACTTAAATTAAATACTGTTTCCTAAATTGTATCGTGCTTTTCTATGTGTATTATTTGTTAAAAATTGGACAGCTTTTGCAAATTAATTTTAACTTTATGTCCCTTTTTCTCAAAATACTCCTTTCCCTTGTCTTCCCCATCTGTCTTACCACCTGAAGTGGAAAAGAAGCTGCTTTAAGGTGTTGTATCCCATATAGCCAGGTAATATGAATAGTGATTGACACACGGGAAGTGCAGGTTCAAAAGTTACTCAGAGGAGGCAATTTTAAACATTGTAGATGATTTCTCTGATGACTGTCTATGAGGGATCTTGTCTCTCTTGTCGAAGTGTTTTGTGAGGGAGGCTGAGTCTATTTTAACTGTTTGAAACTTCAGTTCCAGGCAGATTTATAACCCACGCTTCTGGGGGAGCCACAGGGTGAGGGGTAATGGTTTTAAACTGAAAGAGGGGAGATTTAGATGAGATCTCAGGAAGAAATTCCTTGCTCTGAGGGCCTAGGTTCCCAGAGAAGCTGTGGCTGCCCCATCCCTGGAGGTGTCCAAGGCCAGGCTGGATGGGGCTTGGAGCAACCTGGTCTGGTGGGAGGTGTCCCTGCCCAGGGCAGGGGCTTGGAACTGGTTGATCTTGAAGGTCGCTTCCAACCCAAACCATTCTGTGATTCTATGGAGCTGCAGGCACATTACCTCTCTTGGGCTGCTGGATACAGCCTGGTATGTTTTTCTCCTAACATGTATCTTTTGAAAAAAAGCAATTTGGGAAGCCCAACAAACATCTGAAATGTGAGGGAGGCAACTGTTAGGTTTTTTTCCAGAAGGGGAAGGAAATTGGTGTGTTAAATATGGAAACCTTCACAGAGACCAGCGGTGAAAAGCTGAGGGAAAACACTTGCATGAAAGTGTTACACAGTTTGGAATATAGGAACTGATGGGAACAGCTCATAGCTTCCCTGGGGAAGACCTTCCTGCCAGATGGGGCTGCTGTTTCCAAGCTGAGCTGGGAAGCCTGTGTTTTCACCTCAAGATACATATATTTGCATGGCTGACGGCATCACCAGTTAAATCATGTCCAAAAGGCTATTAAAAAGCCTAACCTTAGTGTTTTGCTGACTTGAAAAGCTACCAGAACCATGGAGGTTTCACACATCAAGCTAAGTAATGGAAGGATGAAGAAAATGAAAGGCTGAAACTGGGGTGGCAGTTCGTGCTGCCTGGTTTATACCAGGTCAAGCATTCCCTCCTGGCTAAGCCAGTCCTCACCATGAATGCTCTCAGTCCCCCCTCTCAGAGTGAGTTTTTCATATATGGTTTTGTTAAAAGGCAAGTCAAACAGTGATGCTGCTCACTCTCATGGAAACAGCCCGTCCCTGAGATCAGAATCCACGCTTTCGGTACTCTGCTCCATAGCAGAAGAAAACCCATGCAAATTACTCAAAATATAAATTTGGGAGTGTTCAGCCTGGAGAAGAGAAGGCTCCAGGGAGACCTTAGAGCCCCTTCCAGTCCCTAAAGGGGCTCCAGGAGAGATGGGGAGGGACTCTGGATCAGGTAGGGGAGTGATAGGAGGAGAGGGAACAGTTTTAAACTGAAAGAGGGGAGATTTAGATGAGATCTCAGGAAGAAATTCTTTGCTGTGAGGGGGGTGAGAGCCTGGCCCAGGTTGCCCAGAGACGCTGTGGCTGCCCCATCCCTGGAGGGGTCCAAGGCCAGGCTGGATGGGGCTTGGAGCAACCTGGTCTGGTGGGAGGTGTCCCTGCCCAGGGCAGGGGGGTTGGAACTGGGTGATCTTTAAAGGTCCTAAATAACCCAAACTATTCCGTGATTCTATAATGATACGGTTTTTAACAAGTTACAAAACCCTTTTTAAATACATACTTGTGGAATCGTAGAATGGTTTGGGTTGGAAGGGACCTTAAAGATCATCTTGTTCCAACCCTAATGCATTCCTCTGGGAAGTATATGTGGTGTCTCCTTACATTTTAAACTAAATTACTCTAAAATCATATGCAATTTATATTTTTAACCATAACCTCACATAAATTTATTTATTTAGTTCTTATTTTCTGCCCAAGTGAGGCAGTATGCGTATGGAATCACTTTTAGAAATATTAACCGTACGAATAATGATGGCTAAATTATAACAGTAACAGCAAAAGGCTCCTCTCCTCATATCCCGTAAGGAACGCTACTCGATTTTCAGGGATGGTATTTTGGAGATAAGGCGGGGGGTGAGAGATAAACTTCTGCTTCGCTGCCACGGGGTGTCACTGCAGATAGCACAATGATCTCCAAAACTCACCTTCATCACTCAGTTAAAAGCAAAACCAAAAGCCTCCTGCACGAAGCAGCCCTTTCGCATCTCTGCTGTCTGGCGGCTGGAGGTATTTATTGCATCCTGGGGTTCGCATCCCTGAACTCCACATTCTGCTTCCCAGGAAAACCTCCCTTCTCACTGTGTGTCAGAGTAAACCAGAATCGGCAAAATTTGAGGCAAAAAGTGTTGTCTTTGCTGTCTGAGACCTACCCAGAGAACACTTCCAGCCATGGAGCATCTCCCCCTGCAGATCCCTGCCGTACCACTGATAGCCCTGTAATGTTTAATTAAACAAAAAATCCACTTAACCCCCCCAAAAAAGCTCCTGCCGTGCCTGTGGGGATGGTCTCCAAGCAGAAGGATGGCGCAATACCTTGCTTCACTTGCATCATGGAAGCAGAGGGAAGAACTTGCCCCATAAGTTCTTAAATTTTATCTTTATGTCTTAAAAATGGAATGCTGATGTTGGGATTTTCCTGGATAATCACAACCGAAAAAAAATTAAGACCTGGATTTTCCAACCAAATGAAACAGAATGTTTTTTTTTTCTTGCTAGAGACCAGAATGCTCTGTCATGAAGCCAGTCGCGTAATTAAAGTGCTTTAAAAGAAAACGTGGTTCACAGCAGTTGCTTTCCAGAAGAAGTGGTTTTGTTCAGAGTTTGCAGGCAAGATTTGGCATTGGATTGAGTCCCCATTGTCAGAGGACCAGCCATGGAAGCTCAGCCTCTGCCAGCTGCACACAAGACCAACATGTTTTGGTCAGGCTGAACGTGGTGAGCTCCATAGGGACCTGCCCAGAGAAATCCAGTAGCATGGGGTGTGTAGGACACCAACCCTGATGATCTGGTAGGTCGTCCTGGCTTCGGATTCTACACAGAAAGAGGCTATACCAAGATGTCTCACCACCTCTAAAGGAGGACCAGATAACAGCTTTTCCTGCACGTGCATAAAGCTTTAGTAATGTTAGTGATTTGAGAGTATCTGGTGCAAAGATGTACCTATGGATGAAGGCAACTCTCATAGTACTCCATGACCATTAAAAAAATACTGGTTCTATTTATTTCACCACAGACCTTTTAAAGAAAGCAGTGGGAACAAGCAACGCTGTGCAATTTATGCTCTTCGATACAGAACCATGATTAATACCAAACACTAACTTACAGGGGGATTTAAATTTGTGGGATCCTTCTTAACAGAAAGAAGCATTTCCTCTTTCTCTCCTTGGCTACTTCTGATACAAAACCCAGAACATTTTGTGTTCCCTTTTATCCCATTCAGCTAAAAGCAGCTTCCTCAAACGCACAGCCCGTGCCTCTCCTGCATGATGCAATGCAAAAAGGTCAGTTAAAGGCAGATGTACCTCCTCGGGACAGAGTGGTTCTCCTGCAGAGCCCCTTCACCCTTCTCTGCCTCCTCATCCTCAGCTGGTTCCCCATGCTCAGCTCTCCCACCACACCTCAGCTGAGGCTATGAGTTTTCTGAGTGAGGGTTGACCTTCAGGTGATGAGGATAATGATGATGCACGCCACAGCTGAGGCTATGAGTTTTCTGGGTGAGGGTTGACCTTCAGGTGATGAGGATAATGATGATGATGATGATGCAGGAGGTCCTGAGCCCAGCTGAGCACTTGGGAGACCATGGCTTCCTCACCTGACATCTGGTCCCATTGGCCGGACTGCTGGTAAGACTGGTGACCCCACCCATGTGGCCTTCTCCTTTCAGCCTGCCTGTTATTGAGACCTCAGAAAGGCAATAAATAACCCCAAAAGTGAGCTGTGGTCTCTCTGCCCTTCAGGCTCAACATTGAAAGCAGACATAGGTTCACCCAAGAGTCCATAACTCTTGGTTAACCTCTTCTTGCCCAGGATAGGGTCTACATAAGATTATATGACACTATTATGATAAAAAATATCTCCTGAGATCTATGGGAGAAACATCAGATGAAGGAACCAGCTTTACCAAGCCTCCAGGAGCACGAGGGGAGCTGGTACCACCTCTGCCTTATGATTCATAGCTGCTGTTTGCTGAAATGCTACTGAGTGAAAGCACCTGGGGGTGAAATGAAAACCAGACTCTTCCCCCCCACTTTCTCTAATCCCCATATTTTGTGCCCACAATCCTCCTGGGGCCACATGTGATGTAGGAGCCTCCCTGCTGTAGAGGGGCTACCTGGTCTCTCTGTAGACCAGCTCTAAGGGCCAGTGCTGTGCAGGACTTGGTGGCCACAGGAGTCTGGGTTTCTGTAGGTAAGCCCAAAGGGTGGCACTGGCTTACTCTTGTAAGTCAGTCATGGAAAAAGAGTGGTGTTTTGTGTCGTGCTGCAATCAGTTAAAAAAATGAGAGGTGGCTTGGCTGCTCGAAGTGACCTGGGTCTGTGATGATGGCAGGACAATGGCCACCTACTGCTGAGAACTTGGGCTGCAAGGAGGGACAGGAGCCTGGTGAGCATCGTTGCCTCTGGTCCCCAGGTGGGTGTTGCAAGGGCTGTACCCCAGAGGGTGGTGAGAGCCTGGCCCAGGTTGCCCAGAGAAGCTGTGGCTGCCCCATCCCTGGAGGTGTCCAAGGCCAGGCTGGATGGGGCTTGGAGCAACCTGGTCTGGTGGGAGGTGTCCCTGCCCAGGGCAGGGGGGTTGGAACTGGATGATCTTCAAGGTCCCTTCCAACCCAAACCATTCAACAACCCCCCTGGGGCCAGAGGCAGGCTGTGTGAGCTGGGGA